CAGACAGATCAACAACACCACCTTATAGTTATAACTCATACTAAATATCAACCAGGAATCATATGGTAAGATTTTAATGTTGTTTTGTTTAACATATAAACAGAAATTACATTACAATTTCAAAAAAGCAATCAAGTCATTGATTTCTTTTCCTGGTCCTGATCCCCTCCCCTTTTCTAAGAAATAAAGGCATAAAGGCTGAAAATATATATATTTTTAAATAAATTATATAATAAAATGTCTTCTTTTCAAAATAAATTAAAATACTTTTTAATGTAATTTTCTGTTGGTAACAGCTTGTGTAGTTATAAATTCTGATAATGTCCTATCAAATAAAGACAAAAACATCCAAATAAATAAATGTTGATAAATACATGCATGACTTTTCAATTTTTTAGAGATAATATAAAAATCTATATTTATGCAATTTTAGATACCTTATGTAGTTAGTTTTTAAGGAAATAAAACATAATAATAGTTGCATTTAGGCAATTTGTGTGGATTGAGGTCAATTTCTGCAACAGTGCTCTTTACTCATCTCACACTTCAAACAATTCACCGCTCTTTCCTATTTCCATCCCATCAAATGTCTCAAGCTATAAAACCAACCAATATCAAACTAAATGCAGTTATCAAATAACAGCTTCTAGCCTATATTCCTCATACTGCTTCAGTTTGATAGGAAGCAACTGGATGAGTCTATTTTTCACCCACAGTATTGATTGCTTTTAGTTTAAAAGTGACTCATTGTAATAATGCCTCTTTAATAATATTAAAGATAATGCTAAATTATATCTAGTATAATGAGAGTTAAAAGGAACACATTTCTGGTTTGGGGTTGACGAAGGGGTACTTGAGGCTTACTGATAGGGCTGAGCGAGTACTGTACATAAACAAGACAAAAAAACATAGGGAAAAACCGTTGTAAAGCATTTATCAGTGGCAAAAGCTGTATTTGCATATGAAATGCAGTGTAAGATAAAACGAAGCACAAATGGTTTAATGAAAAACTACAGTGTGGATTACAGACAAAACTCTTATATGCAAAACCTAATCAAGACGAGTACATCAACAATTGCTATTGAAGAATTTGTGCCTGCATTTAGCAGTTATTACAATGACCTTGCTGTAATTAATAGGTATTAGACATAAACAGTGAAAATTAAAGGTCACCTTCATAACCACTGATCAGTCATTTCGGCTAGCATGTTTAAGGCACGCTTTAATATGAATGACGTTAATCAAATTAAACTTTCGCGCAAGCTCCAGGAATGGCGCGGAAAACACTGCAGGAACAACACACAGAGCAGCGCGTTAGAATTGCTTCTGTGAGCTCAGCAGGGCACTGGGAAAATGGTAAATTTCAGGAGAAATTTAATAAGGAGAAATTGGCTTAAGATTACTCAGCACTTTGCTTCTAGATTAGTCTCCCTCCTACCCTTCAAATTGCACGAGTTGCTTTCAGAGTGATACAACATTGTGACATAATTACATTGTTGAAGGTGAGGCTCAGTAGAAATGGCTCCGTGCTGACACAAGACGATTTTCCAGCACATGCAAATTTACAGACGGCTGCGCTTCTCTGCCATTTGAGGGACTAGGCAAAACGAAAAACCGTTTGCATGTTGACAAAACGTTGCTGATTGCGATCCACAATTAAAACAAAAGGGTCATTGTGACTTTAATCCAAAAGCCGTCCTTAACAACAGACGTTATGAACTGTACCTACGCACAAATCATTCCCAAATCATACTGGCTTAATTAAGCCGTCTGATTGATGGTCTGATCGTCCCATCGGGAACGTCCATTGAGAGGATATTGAATAGTTGTCTATTCCAATGTTTAGCATATTTTCATAACTACGTGACAAGTGGCAATATCGCAGCAAAGTCGTCCTCGGGGTGTAAGCAGCTGCGTCCCACCTAAAACTGCATGAGCGAGCAGAGGAAACAAAAGAAATTAAACTTGAAGCGTTGATGAGAACTCGTCGGCTGTGGTTGTAAACAGCTGTGTGCTTTGAGTTCTATCAATAACCTCTCGGTTACAAGGGTCGGTAATTAAAAGGCTAGTGACCTGGAAATAGTGTCCTCGTTCGAAGATCTCCAAATGTCCGCATAAAAAATACAACATCAAATTAGAATAGCAATAGCACGAGGCCGAGTCTTCCAGCTATAGATCTATTGATGTTCAAACACACCCTGGGGGCACATTGCCATGATAGTCCTGAGTTCACCGTGTTCCCCATTACAACCTGGTTTCGCTGTTCGGAGAGGTCAAAGTCAATCTAAATATACATTATACACACATACAAAACAGATACCTGTATGTAAGAATTATAAATAATACAAACACACTAGGGTCCAAAAGTCTGTGAACATCAGGATTTACATGAACTTGGGAAATTCTTGCAGCTTGAATAGCATTTCAGCAAAAAGAGGACATCAAATTGTAATAAATATTAAAATTCATGTTAATTTTTTTCCTCAAATTGTTACGCTGATAAAATAAAATAATGTAATTTAAAAAAAACAGCAATTAAAAAGTAATTAGAAAAGTATGAGTTTTCTAGACTTTTTTAAATAATATATTATTTCTATAATTTATTAAGAATTAATATAAATTATATATTATTGTTTATTATATTTATTTATATATTCGTTAATTCGTAATTTAATAAATAAATACTATATTATTTATATAATTTTATTAATAATTAATATATCATTTGTATATTAATATATTATTATTATTATTATTATATGTATTTATATATTTGTTCGTTCATTCATTCACTCCAAACTCCGTCTCTGAACATGTTTATTATAAATAAATAAATATATATTTATTTAGTTAGTTAGTCATATTGTATGTTTGAAGAGAGGGAATCTTTTTCAGAAAGCATAATGAAATGTTGTGTTCATGTGGATTATAGGGACCCATTGAACACTACTGACTTTTAGTTGGCATGGGGGGTTGACTTATTATGAAACAGCGGCACACTGGCATATTAATACTTAATGTACCAGTAGACCCCTTTGAGAAATCCATGTGAACCTCCAAACACGCTTGTTGTTACAAAAAACAAATACGATGCATATCGCTCAAAACCTGCAAATCCCTGGATCTGGATACAATTTCACATTAAAAAGAACCACATTTCATCATAAACATACAGCATATTAAGCCGCATAACCCAGCTGTGAATTATAAATGAAGCTGATCTACTGCTAACGAGAAGCACTGACCGAGGAAAATGCTAAAGATATTGAGACGTCATAATAGGCCACTGATGTGAACAACAGCAGCCGGCAACTATGGATTTTATCTCCAGTTACCTACACCGGTCATGGAGCTATTAGGCTCGCTTTCCTCTGCTGCTCTACTAGCACCATCGAAGGCCAAATCCACCTGCCTTTACCATTAATTAGTCCCGACATAACAAATTTCATTTCAAATAAGAGCTAAAAGGAAAAAAAGCCACAACTGATAAGCACAGCTGTGCTAAGAAGATTTACAATTATCAATAGCGTGCAGAGACAGATGAGTTATCGCGTTATAAAGGACAGTGCTGACCTTGCTAAACTTAAATGTAATCAAGATAAAACTAATCTGACCTTTGTGAAGGACTATATTTTATTTTAAAAAATGATATGCATTTCAGCGCCGAAGTGATCGTTATTTTATGTGACTGATTTAAAAGTTTTAAGACCTGCTTGCAAAACACTCAAATAAGCCATAAAGTGAGACAGATTACATTGTGCTTCTCGATTTCCATCACTGCCGCCCCCAAAGTGATTCACTAAAACATCACAATGTCATTTTCAGTGCTGGGTTTTAAAAAAAATCTCTCGAAAAAGATCAAAATACAGCGTACGGATTGATTTCTTTCCAGCACACACTCAGGCCGGTGATCTGATCTGAAAGGGGTTTGTGCTATAGGAGAGATAGTGGTGGGTTATGCATCAAACACACATATTGATTGATACCTAAACTGCTCTGAATTTAGAGTGAATGCATATGTATGCTCACAACACGTTACTTCTCTGGTCGATAAAACTTTCCGATGCATTCCAGTGCTTTAATATTTATGATAACAGCTAAATTAAGTAAAAGCTTTAAAATGCTGGGAGGTAGCATAATTGACAATTCCATTGAAAGTGCAGGAGGGTTTGTCAATATTAATTTTCTGGATCCCAAAGAAGCGTCCCAACTGATAGGTCATTTATCCACGCAACTGGGATCAAGCTCTCTGCAGCCCGATCGACCCTTACCTGACCCTCCAGGGCATGCAACAATGGCCTCGACCTCTGACCCTTAAAAGCGAATGATCTCATCCCGTGAAAATCTTGGGCCAAAGTCCACTGGACTACATTCTGCTCCTAAAGCTGAGCTGTCTTTAAAGGGATAGTTCATCCAAAAAAATGACAGTTGTGTCATTATTTACTCTCCCGAAACCTTTCTTTCTTCTGTCAAACACGTATAGCAGAATGTACAAGCTGCTCTTTAAGTAGATGATGACCATGGCTGTCAAACAGTGAATAACAGTGAATTTTCAGTGAATAACAATTTAAATTTCTGCCATTTTGTCACATAAACTTATAATATGGTTTCAGAAGACTTGGCATCTAGTCACACCTCACTTAAGCTGCTTTTTTGTCCATTTTTGGAGCTCAATATCATCAGTCCTCCTTTACTTTTCATTGTAAATGAAAGTAAAAAGAGCAGCGTGAACATTCTTCACAGCTTCTCTTTTTGCATTCTACAGAATAAATCATAAGAATTTGGAATTTTGGACACAAGGATGTTTAAAAGTTTTTCATTTTGGGGCAAACTGGCTTTCTTTACTACGCCGATTCCACTCATGTTTGAAATGAATAACGAAAGCATTCGGCTGGTTAAATTCAAGGTCAAAGTCTTGGAATTGAGCCATCTCGTATCCATTCCGCCAGTAAAAATGTAACGTTTTACATTAGGTTCTGGAACATGCTGATGACGCTCACCTTTTTTCTTCAAGAACGCTTTTCTGGTCGCCAGGGGGCTTTGACGAACTTGCTGGTTTTGTAGAAACTTGACTGCCGTGGCAATCTGCGAAGAGAGCAAAAAACAAAGACATCTTACATTTGCAGCGTGAAATGAGCTCATCAGTGTAATAGAAAGTCATCAGTAAATTAACTTCACTGGAAATGAGAGGAAGACTCAGGAATTCTTGCAAGGCGGCTGAATTATTGTACATTTCAAACTCCCCAAGGTATATCATCAGCCAACAACAGGAACTTATAAAATAGCCCTCCCAAGAAGTATATGGAGGCCAGACCACCAAACCACTTTAGAGATAAATCTAGGAAATGAGTGAATCAGCAGTTATAAAATTATCCCATCAAGGTTTGCTGAACAAATGGGGTATGGAGTTTAATTTGCCATTATCCTCTTTAAGACAAACTCCTAGCCTTAAGTGAGCAGGGACTGAAAATCTATACTTAATGCTGAAGTGCCCATCTGTATCTAATAACGGCACAATACCTGGTTAAAAACTTCAGCAATTCTTAAAGAAGAAAATGCATTATGATCAAATCACCTAGGTTGCACGTTGTAATGACTGAGTGTTAATGCACTAGAAAATTAAATATCATCAGAACACGTGTAGTCAGAAGTGCAGTGCAGCTCCCATCGATTCCATCGCGTTTTCCTTCGAGATGCACCTTGATCTGCCACTTTAGCTTGCTTCTCCTAGAATTAAAAAAGGGTCTCCTCCTCAAACCCCATTATGGCATGAATTTGAAGTGCGGGCTCTGAAGTGGTACTTTTAAAGAACAGATAAACATGAAATAACATCTGGAGATAGGGGGAAACGCACACTCAAGGATAAAGCCGAGCCGCCTCGTTATCGCACCTGTGGTCCCTGTGATTCAATTGTAAAAGTCATCCCTCTAATAGGTTGAAAGGTTTTGATTACTGTTCTTTTTCTTTAAGCGGCAAAAGATAAAAAGTGATTGAGAGCGCTGTCTGTGGTAATCCGTTTTAGGTAATGCATTGCATATACTAAAGACCTGTTTCAATCCAAAAGGATTGCATTTTGAAAATAGGCTGAGAAGAATGTGTAATAGTCGGGCCAGCTGTATAATTCTGCACTCAGCTGAATTATTGTACATTTCCAACTCCCCCATGGTATATCATCAGCCAACAACAGGAACTTATAAAATAGCCCTCCCCCTCCCAAGAAGTATATGGAGGCCAGACCACCAAACCACTTTAGAGATAAATCTAGGAAATGAGTGAATCAGCAGTTATAAAATTATCCCATCAAGGTTTGCTGAACAAATGGGGTATGGAGTTTAATTTGCCATTATCCTCTTTAAGACAAACTCCTAGCCTTAAGTGAGCAGGGACTGAAAATCTATACTTAATGCTGAAGTGCCCATCTGTATCTAATAACGGCACAATACCTGGTTAAAAACTTCAGCAATTCTTAAAGAAGAAAATGCATTATGATCAAATCACCTAGGTTGCACGTTGTAATGACTGAGTGTTAATGCACTAGAAAATTAAATATCATCAGAACACGTGTAGTCAGAAGTGCAGTGCAGCTCCCATCGATTCCATCGCGTTTTCCTTCGAGATGCACCTTGATCTGCCACTTTAGCTTGCTTCTCCTAGAATTAAAAAAGGGTCTCCTCCTCAAACCCCATTATGGCATGAATTTGAAGTGCGGGCTCTGAAGTGGTACTTTTAAAGAACAGATAAACATGAAATAACATCTGGAGATAGGGGGAAACGCACACTCAAGGATAAAGCCGAGCCGCCTCGTTATCGCACCTGTGGTCCCTGTGATTCAATTGTAAAAGTCATCCCTCTAATAGGTTGAAAGGTTTTGATTACTGTTCTTTTTCTTTAAGCAGCAAAAGATAAAAAGTGATTGAGAGCGCTGTCTGTGGTAATCCGTTTTAGGTAATGCATTGCATATACTAAAGACCTGTTTCAATCCAAAAGGATTGCATTTTGAAAATAGGCTGAGAAGAATGTGTAATAGTCGGGCCAGCTGTATAATTCTGCGGTGACAAATCAAGACAGAGTGAGTCGGGGACCCGGTTTTCCTTTCAAAAACACATCATATTGATTTCAGCTTAAATTTATGGGGAACAACTTTGACTTTGTTGGATGAAGAAGGAAGACGAAAAGGGGGGCACTGCCGATTTAGGGAACGGCATGAGATTATGATTCCAATAATTGGAATAAGCAAGCAGGCAGGCCGCATTTGTCTTCAAATATATATATACGACTGAGTCAGTGTCTGCAAAGAATGGGACCTTAGTCACACCTGGTTTCAGAACACATCAGGCACAACGTTTTACGGTAACATGATCTTTGCAAAGCTGTTACCCAAAGGGTAAGGAAATTTCTGGATCTCTATATTAGTGTCAGGAGTTAACCTTTTTTTAACATTTACAAGGGGGTATTTTTTCTAACTATCAATAAAAACACACTTTATGTTATCCATTTGTCAAACAGTTTATTTTGCCATTTTAAAACTGTTTGTACATGCCATTGTTTCACACCAATAGTTTGCTCAAACTTTTAATGAATTCATTAAAATCTCAATATGCATAATCATTTTTACCTATAAATTCAATAACACATTTATATTTTGCATTATGCAAAAATAGCTTGGCCTAAAATGTAAAAAAAAAAAATAAAAAATTAAAAACATAATTGGAAACAACAACAACAACAAAAAATAATCACATTTTTTGCCGTAAATTTTCACTTTCTGTGGTATTTCTCTCATTTTCGGTGCCATTTGTGCCCATGGGAACCTATTACTTCTGACCGTGCTATATATAAGCTTAAAGCATAGTGAATTTAGTCACCTAGAAACTTAATGACAAGAAAATTGCAAAGTCCACATAGTCAAACACACTAAAAACACTCCCACTTCATAAATGAACAAGTTCAGCTCAGTTCTGGGAAGTCTTCGAACCTGAATCGCAAGTTAAAATTAGTATCTGAATGGAGGAGGTTTTTGAGTTGTTGTACAATGACACAATAAGTGCCTTTTACAATCCAGAAACGCTCTTTCCCCGCTCTATAAACACCATGTAAACTGCATAAACCATCATATTCTTTATTCACTGCACAAAAACGATGTCAGGCACGTTACGCGTACAGTAAATCACATTTTACAGGAAAAGAAAATTCTCAATTGAGTCACCGCCAGCGGGAAAAAAAACAAGTGTGGGGATGTTTCATTTAAGATTATACAAGACAAAGGGTCGAAATCGCGGCTCCTTGGCTTGAAATACGACTCCTTTTTGTGATTGAGACTAGCTTTTACTTGGATGGAAGGGGCACGGCATTCTTGTAAACACTTCTCTAAAAGATGGGATCAAAGTGGGATAACAAATGAGGGCGATGTCCATTTATTTTTCAAGAGTGTTACGTCTGTTCTTCAGGGAGAAGAAAAGTGCTTTTCTTTGCAGATGACACGGCTGCTTTATGCAAGTTCCACCCAGACATCTCAATCAATTATAACCACATTGCACAGATTTTAGTCTTGTCTACTTATTGACGTATAGATCACCCTCGTTGTCGTATAAGGTAGCAGCATGTGATTGTGCTTTTAAGGGGGAGAGCTGTATCACTGCATCACTGCATGTCAGTACAAGGCACATTTGGTTTGGCAAGCAAAATATTAACTCAAATTAAAAAGGTGGGTGCGTGTTTCTTTGCTGAATACCAGTAAATACTCTTTGTTAATCAACCATTATTTTCTAGTGTTTCTTGTAAGGCTAAAATTGCTAATGCACGGAAAGTGCTCCCTGTTCTAACCAATAATCTTTACAAATGAGATGAATGATCAAGTGTCAGGTGCAACCTAAAAAGTGGTGAAAACTCAATCATAGGGGCCAAGCAACATTAAGGGCCATGTCTGGAGACATGCCTGCCATGAACATGATGACTGGACAAGGTCTTGCAAATCGCGCCGTGTCGGTTATTGAGTTTGGATCGGACCGAGTTTTATCAGAGCACTTTTGCCTCACGCTCGCCTTAAATTTTGAGGAGGTGGTCGTTCCCCTTAACATTATGATATTGATCGGGAAGGAAACATAAATGTCCTATTAGGGAAGCCAAATTTTAAGAGCCAACCTCGTATGATGCTTTCTTCATGTTAGTCTCTGTTAAACAAGTTAAAAGTTCAATATCTGGTCTATAGAACAGGACGAATTTAGATAAATCAGCACATTTTTAGGGTAAGAGTAAGATAAATTCAGGTACACTTTTTGACATTAGCGTTAATGTCAAAAAGTGTACCTGAATTTATCTTACTCTTACCCTAAAAATGTGCTGATTTATCTAAATTCGTCCTGTTCTATAGACCAGATATTGAACTTTTAACTTGTTTAACAGAGACTAACATGAAGAAAGCATCATATGAAAACCATCAATTCCTTTATTCACTGCACAAAAACGATGTCAGGCACGTTACGCGTACAGTAAATCACATTTTACAGGAAAAGAAAATTCTCAATTGAGTCACCGCCAGTGAAAAAACGAGCGCAGGGACGTTTCATTTAAGATTATAAAGACAAAGGGGTCAAAATCACGGCTCCTTGGCTTGAAATATGACTTTTTTTTGTGATTGAGACTAGCTTTTACTTGGATGGAAGGGGCACGGCATTCTTGTAAACACTTCTCTAAAAGATGGGATCAAAGTGGGATAACAAATGAGGGCGATGTCCATTTATTTTTCAAGAGTGTTACGTTTGTTCTTCAGGGAGAAGAAAAGTGCTTTTCTTTGCAGATGACACGGCTGCTTTATGCAAGTTCCACCCAGACATCTCAATCAATTATAACCACATTGCACAGATTTTAGTCTTGTCTACTTATTGACGTATAGATCACCCTCGTTGTCGTATAAGGTAGCAGCATGTGATTGTGCTTTTAAGGGGGAGAGCTGTATCACTGCATCACTGCATGTCAGTACAAGGCACATTTGGTTTGGCAAGCAAAATATTAACTCAAATTAAAAAGGTGGGTGCATGTTTCTTTGCTGAATACCAGTAAATACTCTTTGTTAATCAACCATTATT